GTTAGTGCACAATTTATTTTCTCTTTACTTTGATGGTGTTAAGCTTCTTACGAATGCCGCCACGTAAATTCGACACTTTGCTCGAGCTGCTGCGCCCCGCCACCTCCAAGCCAAAGTATTCCGTGGTTACCATGGTGCCACAGACCTAGATGAACGCACTCGTTTGTATCTGGTGGCAAGAGGCCACCACAATAAAAAAAACGAAAATTGAGCATCGCTGCTTGGTTCCAGCAGCCTCGCGACTGCAGTCGCACGACTGAAAAATCGGTCAGGAAGCGACTACTAAAGCAGTCGCTTTGCGACCATGTGCGACCGTTCGCGACTGTTTGCGACCAGTCGCAAATGGTCGCGCGATCGCTGCTAGTCGCCGATGTGCACCAGCCTTTATTCTTCAGACGGCACTCGAAGCAGTGTCAGTCAGCGTCATTCTATTTGACAAATAGGTCAACGTGTGCTCACTATACATACCACCAAACTACAAACTTGATCGCACAGATTTCTCTCACCTCATTGATCAGCTGCTGGCACCTTACATTGTTGTTGGTGATTTCAATGCTCACAGCACTCTATGGGAGGGACGCTCACTGCAATGCGGGAGGCCGACTGATTACTCCTGTGTTCCTGAGCATGCCTCTTCCATAAAAAAAGCATGCTTATCACAACATTCACCACAAGTGATATTCTTCGATAGACTTGACATCTCTCTCTTCACAGAGTAAGAATGGAATGCAGTCAAGAATCCGTACGGCAGTGACCACTTTCCTGCTATGTTGACAACATCACATGACTTTCCTCCTCATATTCCCAAATGAAAGATAGCATCCGCTGACTGGGAGAAGATTCAAGAAATCAACCCTTATACCTCATGACTTTATCGCAAATCGTGACATCGATTGCGCAGTAGCATTCTTCAGTGCATTTATTCTTGACGCTGCTGAAAAATGTATCCCGCAAACAAATGGTCACCCGTGTCAACGACGTGTTCCCTGGTGGAACGAGGACTGTAGGGATGCGCGTAAGAAACAAAATAAAGCCTGGGGCATCCTGCAAGCGATATCCGAATGCAGAAAACCTTGTTGAATTTTAAAAAGTGAAATCACTGGGTAGGTTCCTTTCTAGCAGTTAACTCCTACACCCATGAAAAGAAAGTCTGGAGGCCTCAGAAGTTTTAAGGGGCAGCAAGCACATCGCCTGCCTTTGGTGAGTCAAGGAAACACACTAGAGCACCAGGCCATCAGCCATGGCAAGCACTTTGAGCGCATTTCCAGTTCCGTGCATTACTCAAGATCTTTCTTAAAATATAAAGAAATGACAGAACGCAGAACATTTGAGTCGAAGTGTAAAACAAACGAACAATGTAAAACTCTATTTAATACTGCCGAACTTAGGGCGGCCTTGAATGCATGCCACAGTACAGCACCGGAACCCGACAAAACTGTGTATGACATGCTCAAACAGCTTCAGGATGACACGGAGATCACTTTACTTGCCCTGTATAACACTATCTGGGCTGCCGGGTACCTGCCATCCACCTGGATTGAGGCCATTGTTGTTCCCATTTTAAAGGAAGGCATGGACCCCTCTAGAGTTACAAGTTACCGTCCAATAGCGCTTACAAGCTGCTTGTGCAACGTGTTCGAGAAAATAATAAACAAAATACTATGCATTTTCTAGAAACCAACAATTGCTTGACCCTTTTCAGTGTGATTTTAGAGAGGAGCCGGTCTACTGCGGGCCTTCTCGTACGCATTGAAGCATATATCCGCCATGCGTTTTTCCACAAACAGTACTGTCTCTGTGTGTTTCTCGATGTGGAAAAAGCAAACAACACCACATGACGCAACGGCATCCTTAGAGATCTGTCAGACATCGCTATTCATGGCAATATGTTGAATATAATAAAGAGCTACTTATTCGAGCAAACATTTCGTGTTCGTGTTGGGAATGTCTTATCCAGGCCATTTATTCAGGGAAATGGGAGTACCACAAAGTGATGTCGTGAGTTGCACCCTTTTTATTATAAAAATAAACTCATTACGACTCTGAATTCCACATACCACTTTCTATTCCACATATGTAGATGATATCTAGGTAGGCTTTAGGTCATGTAATCTTACAGAGTGTGGGTGGCATGTTCAGCTTTATCTGAACAAAGTGTCTAAGTGGGCTGACGGAAACGGGTTCAGGTTAAATCCAGAAAAGAGCACCTGTGTACTCTTTTCTAGAAAGATAGGCCTTCACCCAAATCCTGAAATTGACTTGTATGGCCAGGCCAGCGGTTACCTGTAGAGGCCAAGCTTAAATTTCTAGGCCTTATTTTAGATTCTAAACTCACATTTACATCCCACATCAAGTATATAAAAATAAGTCTGTAAAAAAATGATCATTCTGAAAGTTCTCTCAATCACATCGTGGGCGCCGGAGTGACCGAAATGGTTTGATCAATATCTATAAAAGCCTCATACGCACGCGCCTAGATTATGGGGCAATAATATACCATTCTGCACTCCAAGTGTATTGAAAATGCTTGACCCGGTCCACCATTTGGCATCCATCTGTCTACGGGTGCTGTTCGCACTATTCTCGTGGAGAGTTTGTATGTCGAGTTCAATGAGTGGCCATTGCACTTGCAAAGAGCGTACATGCCTTTTATATAATATTTAAAAATGAATTCAGACAAATTATCCCTTCACACACAACTATGAATGACTTGTCGCGTTGTACGCTTTTCGAGAACCCTCCTTCATTTCAACAGGCTTACTCACTTCGTGTGAGGAGCCTCACTGAAGAAACTGGTGTGCCACTTCTTGAACACCGTCTGATGGCTCCCCCTGCCACGTCTGCCGCCGTGGCAGTGGCAGCCCCTACACTGTGATACCTCCTTTGTAGAAGTTGCGAAGCATGCGCCTACATGTACACACTCATTTTCTCGAACTGCGGCACAAATACAATTGCCCTGAATTCTTTACGGATGCTTCTAAGTCTCATAGTGGAGTGTCCTATGCTGCCGTTGGTTTATCCTTTTCAGATTCTGGCATTCTCTACCCTAATTCAAGAACATCCACAGCAGAAGCCTACGCAATACTTGTGGCTGCTAAACACATAGAGAAATTCAAATTGTAACGTGCGGTAATATTCGCTGACTCTCTGAGCGTCATAAAAGCATTGAAAACCCTAAAAATATAGAAAATCCTTTATTTTTGATGTTTTACTCTCTTTTATGCACCATTTACTCCCTCAAAAGACAAGTTGTATTTTGCTGGGTGTCAGGGCACTGTGAAATCCGGGGAAATGTGTTGGCGGACCAATTGGCCGCCTCAGCTCACGACAACGCTACCAGAAATACATATATGGCTGTCGCTGCGTTAGAACTGAAACACCTCTTAAAACAACAGCTGAGGGCGTGTTGGCAGCTTTCATGGGATAAGCAAACATGAAATAAATTACATGTTATCAAACCGAGCCTTGGAACTTGGCCGCCGGTATCAAGATCACGCCACACTCAAGTAACACAAGGCTATATACAAATAGGACACGCCCACAGCACTCATTCATACCGCTTTTGTCCGGTGGTGATCCTCCCGTGTGTGACAGATGCGGCGACCCACTCAGCCTGCTTCATATTTTAATTAAATACAACGAATTGGATGCTCTTAGACAAGAACATTTCCTGCTTCTCCACTGACATCAAATACCACTTCATCCGTCAATGCTCATATGTAAAGAGCCACTTCTTAAGTAAAAATCATTGCTCGCATTTTTAAGAAGTATAAATGTCCCGCCGGGTTAGCCTAGTGGCTAAGATAAAAAAGGTGGCCTAGTGGCTAAGATACAGCCTAGGGCTAAGGCTGCTGACCCGCAGGTCACGGAGTTAATCCCGGCTGCAGCGGCTGCATTTTCGATGGAGGCGAAAATGCTGTAGGCCCGTGTGCTCAGATTTGTGTGCACGTTAAAGAACACCAAGGTGGTCAAAATTTCTGGAGCCCTCCCCTACGGCGTCTCTCATAATCATATGGTGGTTTTGCGACGTTAAACACCACATATCAAAATAAAAGATATAAAAAGTTTTACGTCATCTTTCCAGGCAATCCGTAGCTCGACCTACGAGTGGAGGTTGCTGCTGCGGTAACTACAATAAAAAGCAACTGCCTGGTGGCCATTGGACACAAGGGTTGTTGATAAGGCATTCGTGCTGTTATCCTTCTATGATTTTATTTCTACGATCACTTGTCATTCAGTCTCACTCCAAGCGTCACGTCATTCTCATGATTTTAGTATCTATGTGTTTTATCCGCTTTAGGGTGTGGAATTTCAGGCCACTATACAGTCACGTAGCATTATCATAGCCCGCATACCTACACACCTTAGTAATAGACCAACAAATTTTACAATTTTTGCTATTTTTCATGGCACTCTTTGGCCAAATATGGCTCTTGCGCCAATAATAATAATAATAATAATAATAATAATAATAATAATAATAATAATAATAATAATAATAATAATAATAATAATAATAATAATAATAATAATAATAATAATAAAGACCCACTCAACTCTTCCGTGCCGCCACCATGGCTTGCCGCCAGGCGTCCCTGCCGGCGCCACCGTTCTAATCACGATGATGATGGTGGTGATGAACGCTCGCGAGCACCACGCCACCTACCGCTCGGTAATTCTGAACCCAAAATGCGTCCAATGCGCGAAACACATGAGCCACGAGGCAAAAACCACTTGACAGGGGGCGTTAGGGGCCCCACACCCTACATTTCCTCAAGCCACACAAGAATGTGTTCAACGCTTTGTGCGCCAAGGACGGTCTCGCTGATCCTCCGAAAACTCTTCTTCCGGTGGTCCTCCTGAGAAACTTTAGACAAAAGTTCATTTCAAAGTGTAACCAAGCTTGTTTCAGAGTTTTTTCTTCTTTACGCGAATAGCTTGCAGTTCAGAACGAAAGAATGTTGAAATAGAACTCTTATACTTTCTGCCATTCTTTGCAGATGCCTTGCTACGATCGACAGTAACGCAACTGTTCGAAAGGAAGCTTATGACGCAGCTGACGAAGAAGTTTCGGTGCTGGATATTAAAGGTATGTATTATTTTTTAGTGTAGCTCATACCTTAAGCTCCCCTCTTTTAAATAACGATAGCACATAGAACAGATGTACACATCTGATGCCTCAAAAGAAAAGCTTTCTCCGCTTTGTGAAGTAAGAATTCACTAGACGTTAGATGAAACAAACATTTCCACAGAACATCAACAGCCTGCTTCACTGTAAAAATAAAAAAAAAACAATTAGATTTAAATAGGAACGTTTACTGCCATCTATATTGCTAATTTGGGACTGCACTAGCTTTGGTATATTATTAGCGTGTTGCGCTAATTCGCCCCTAAAGAAACCTTGTAGTTATAGCGACTTAATCAGGGTTGGAGGGAAGAATTTCATCGAGGTCGAGCTTCCAACACCCTGCGTATGGCGCAAATGTATGGTGGACTATAAAAGAAAGTGGGACGTGAAAACACGAAACAACAAAACTAACTGGACTACACAAACACCATTAGCGGCCTCTGTGCTCTTTGTTTCTTTCCGTGGTGTTCCTCTATCTACACCTTAGCTTATTTCTCGATGAGTCGCGACTAGTTTATATTTTGCTCGATCTATGCATGATGCATGCATCTGTGTGTGAATGCGACGAGCAGTTACCGTACGATTGTGTGAGGAGGAAATGAGTAACTTCAATTTACTCCGAACGTTTTCTTCTTTAGCTTCAGTGGTTTACATTACCCTCTTGAGCATAGCCACCTAATCAATCACGAGTGAACGTCTTCAGCCCGACCTCCATGCTTCATTGCGTATAAGATGCCTCTGAAATTGCACTCACTGACATTTATGTAAGGATAGTCCCCACTTATGCCAATAAAATGATTAAACAGCAATGCGGCAAACACAGCAGCACGCACACACTCTCAACAAGCGCTGCTCTCAGAGAGCTCCTGTGAAATTGTCTTTTCCCCTCGTTGGGGGACTCTTTCTATTCTCGGACATGCATCATGGTTCCCGTTTACATACCTAAAATGGTTTTACGACTATTATACAGGCTCTATATTCGCAACATTTGATGCGACAATTGTCTCTCGAGTCGTCGTGGTTATAGTTTACGAGTGTGCTCATGCCCTATTATATTCTATGGTCGGTGTGATCATGCCCTACTCTATCCTGTGTCTCCTACCCAGGGCTGCCAACTCCATCAAGCGGGCCGTTCGGTTCCAACTATGACGAAGGCGTGTCTTACGTTCAAGAGACCGCATCTATCGCTGGACACCTGCCCCGCCACACGACCGACATGTACTACACGCTACCACAGCTACACAGCCGCCACAACGGTATACGGTTGCAGAACTTCTCTCAGTGAGGTGATGTGAGTGCTGCAGTGAGAGGTCGTCCACATGGGCCTCGCCGAACTCCAGGAGGTGGTCGGCTTACTTGGCGCGCTCGTCAACCGGTCTACGGGTGGCGGCGCTTGAGCATTCCAATGCATCTCTGCTTAACTTCGGCCTGGCCGCTATGATGGTCGCTATAGAGTCGGTCATATCCTGAACAAGTATCGCGCACATCACACGTACTACAGGAGTCTTATATACGTACGGCACCTTGACGTCTTCAATGTTGTTGGATTGCTCATACTCACTTATTCTACACGCGTGTTGTTGGTGACCACCGCTGTATTTAGAAGTCGCCGTCGTAAGGAGAAAGCATCAACTTTGTGCGAGCGACATTCGCCATCATGACTTTGTCGGCGATGCGTGCAGCATCGGTGGCTGTTCAGAGCCACCAGACATGCGACGGACGCCTAGTGGACGGTGAAAACTGTGGCTGAGGGCTCAGAAACAGATGTAGTTTTCTGAGCCGCAAAAGGCATCGATTAGCCACTTTTCAGCGAGTGATCTGCCTGTAAATTGAGCGCTGCACGTCGACATGGAGCTTCATAGAAAATGACGAAAGACTCAATGACCGTTACTCTGTTTGTTACCTTTCTTTGTCATTTTCGCATGCTTCGCTGCATCACGTAGCTATATGCGTGTGTGTGTATGTGTGTATTTATGCGCTGTACGTTTCGCTTGGCTGCTGGGAAGGCACCTGCGTTGTACGGGCGATGGTGCTTCACTTTTTGTTTACAGGCCTGCTAGCTTCAAGTGTTCTTTTCGCAGCCGTCTGTAGCCACCAAAAGATACAGCCACTATAGGCCCACGCGCGACGCTCATCATAGTATCATTGTTAATAGAATGGGGTCGACCACTGAAGTATAGTAATCAACTATGTTTTATGAATGATAGTGGGTCCGTGATGATGACTGTGTGACAAGAACATAAATATGGTACGTACTATGACTCATAGAGTACAGTGTTTCAGTGGTTTCCTAGCATAAACCCACACCACCCCCAATTTAGTGCTTCGTAGCAGTTTAGAGTGTCGTGTTATTTGTGCTCAATGCTGCTTTTCTTAGTAGTGAATTAAGCCACCATCCAGCATGGCAAAAGTATGGAGCATGTGTTTCCGATGTTGTCATATGGATTGCTTTCAAGTCAGTGGCTCGCGGTACTATAGAAATGGACAGTAAGTTTCTTTCTCTCGGTCAGTGCAACGTCACACGTCTCCCTAAACGCGTTCAACATACTCCAGCTTCTGGGGCACCGTGCTGTTCCTTAGAAGTTTTACCTTCGTCCTATAGCGTGTCACGTACAGTTACTTAAGCACGTGACAACGTCGTGACCATGTCATGTACAGTTACTTAAGCACGTTCTACGTTCACGAATGGGCCACAAGACGCACATCGTTTCCTAAATGTTGGTCAGTGACACTTCTATAAACCCGTAAGCAATGGATTGCCACTCTTGCTGCTCGGATGTGCGTTTGGTTCAATTTCTTTTTTTTTTCGCCATATCGACATGAAAATTGAATTTTTAGTTTCAGAAACGGCAATTCTCGACAAAAGCCCTTATTCACGCTGACAGCTCAAGGCAAAGCGGTCTTGGTAACCTACAGTTCCAGTCGTTTCATACTCATCATTAGGCCAACAAACAATTGTTGGGCAACTTGGCGAACTCGTTCTCTTATTTTTTATCTATTTCTAAGCATAATTGACTGATGAAACCGTAGAAGATTCTTTCCCGTCGCGTTTATAGTTACAAAGTTTGCAGTCAACAATGTGTTTTTCTTCTGCTTTCCCTCTTCTCAACCAAGCCTGCGTGAAGCCACACTTTGGTTCACGTATGGTGTGGTTGCCGCCCTAAATTTCATGCATAGAACGAATTACGAATCACAATGCAGCCTGTTCTGTGAGGCACAACCACAGCATGTCTCTACGCGCTTACCACTTGTCTCTCTTCGTGACTGGTGGTATATCAAATAGAGGTGAAAAGGACAGTTGAATGTAAGTTGTCTGTAATTCATCTAGTGCTCAAAATACAACTGCTCGCTGCCTCGTACGGCCTCCCATAAAGGCCCAACCGCATGCACGCTATCTTAGAAAAATAGCAATGACGACAAACGTTTCCGCGCGTCGCGATGGCTGCAACCACATTGAAAACTATCTAGATTGAAACTATCGCGGGCATGCCCATAAATTGCAAAAAAAAAAAAGGTTTAAAAGTAGGTCGAAAGCTGCATGTCAAAATTATTACTGTTTTGTGTGGCATAACAAAAGCCATAAACTCGTTTCACGACCTTCTTTTTTCGCAATCTTTGGTTTAAGTGGAACAAGGTGCTCAGAAGCATATGCTATACGATTGCTATGGCGCACTTTGCATGACGATTCCACATTGCAGCAAGCTACCATAATTGTCACAAGCCAGAGGTGGTCGATACCTTGCATTTCTCGAAGTGCGCGCGGATAACGAGCATCCATAGCAACTTGCAACCGAAGCAAGCACCAGGGGGGCAGCCTTGTTGCCAGAAATCGTCACGCTGGCTTCCGGGCGACAAGCGATATTACCTAGTTTCTGAGAAACGAGTGACGCGACAAGCGACGGCTACAAATGGGCCTCCGCGGCAGCAAATCCTGCCGCTCGTCGCTGTCTTCAAAATCTTGTGCATGCGGTTCGGCCTCAAGGGCACCCTCGAGTTATACGTTGCAACAATTAATCTCGGATCGAATAAGAAAAATCAAAACTTTCACCCAGTTGCACAGCCAGAATGTTCGAACACACAGAATCTGACGCAGACTCCTGGCCATTTTCTTTTTTATGCGTTCTTCTCACGCTATAATGCCTTCAGTGTCAGTACCCAGTCAAAGCGGAGAATCACGCAACGTCAGTTTCAAGTCGCAATGCATTCTCGCAGACATACGTGACCGGCGGGCTCATTGTGTGTTTTTTTTTTTTTGTGTTGACGAGATGGGACTCGAATTCCGGCTAGTACCGATAAAAGCAGCCATGACTTTTATCGCTGGAACTAGCCTAAACATGATCACCCAAGTTCACTGCACTCGTTCTAAATGTTGAATGCCGTGATGTGAACGAGCAAAAAAAGGGAAGGCAGCATGGCAGTGTCGCAGCTTTTACAGTTCCATGCGACGAAAAAATATATAAAAGAACTTTAAGCTTGCTCCTATAGGACAAAATCTGTCGAATCGTGTGCGTAAAGTGATACTATGTTTTCCAGCCATACTCAACGACTTCCATATTTAGTCTTTGGTGATTTTGTTAGTGAAGCTCTTTTGGAATTTATAATTGACCACTCTACATAATATAAAAACAATCGTTTTGAAGATAATGACCACTTTTGTTTCAGTATGGCTGCTGTATGATGTGTGTTCAAAATAGAATGTTGCGCACAGTGTTTAGTCATCTATGGGCATCTTTAGATGAATTCTTATACAAATAAGGGTCCATACGTATGCCTTCTACATTTTTTTAGCTTTTTTTTGCTAGTTTCAAGTCTATATTATATAAAAGGTCCCTGACTAGATGTCCTTTTGTTATTTTCTTATCTTTGAGTTGGTGACAATTTTTTTAATTAAAAAAAATATGTCTTTATTACTTCTTCAGAATTGAAAAAAAATAGTTCTGATGCATGACTGGTCCACTAAGCGTGTGATAGAGTTAAGAATGTTCTATAAAAAGTTCCAGTAATCAGTTGTTCGCAGCCACTGACACTTAGTGAGAAAAAACACCAGAATAAATATTATAGACCGAAGATAACCTTGATAAAGCAGTATTTACATATTAATGCGTTTGTAAATAAATCTACAACTTTAACTGTTCCTAATAAAAGGCTCATAAACACACTGGTCACAGCTCTCGCATAGTGAGAAGTGCCTACATTAACGGTTTTTTTTTATGCTAGAGCAGGACGCTACACTTCGATACGCCGGAAAACAAGCGTAAAACACTGAGTATAATCTCGCTAATGCTGAATTGGGAAACTTTAACTTGTGTCAACAACTTATCTCTGAAAAGGGGAGAAGTTGATTAGTTGAAATGAAGAAAATGACTCATATCTCGGTATTATTTGCGTTATTCTTTCAATTGGTTTCAGTTAAGTAGGTTTTTATGGTGCACAAGCGACTATTGCTATAGTGCACCAGGTGCAAATACTAGCCACAATTTAGCATACATTATTTATTGCCATAACATACAATTTTTGTTTGTTTGTTTGTTTATTTGTTTGTTTGTTGTTTCACGCTGCGTATTGGATAGCTGGCAAGTTAATTCTACGTATTCTAATTTTCTTGTTCCTTCCAACTGCTGCAAATAGTGATGTAGTCAAACCTAATACATCACGCATCGATCCAACCTTAATGGCAATTCATACTTAATGTTTAAAAAAACATGACTAGTCTCAAACGTCACTGTGGACCTGAAAAACGGTTTCATCTCAAAACACGCATCAGTTTCTTTGCAACGAGCATGCAGAATCATCGTCAACTTGTCGTTCGGAGTGATGTAAAATTTTCGCAGTGGGAAAGCAATCCCAATGCGAGTTTCGATTTGTTCAATTATTCGTTGATCTCCCAGCTACTTGATCTTGGAACGGTGAAGAGCCTGTTGAGAGTTAGATTTTTTTTACTACGGTTTCAATGTGGCAGCGTCACATCACTACGTTCGTTTTCTCCCCTTGACTCCATTCGATCTGCACACACACTCGCTTACTTGTTAGGTCATTGATTTCTTTTTCTTCCACGCTGCAGCCTGCGGAGTCCAACTCGAAAGGTGATGAGGTCAATGGAAGGCAGGCGGGAGCAAAGTAGCAACAAGACGCTTCTTGGCAGCTCCACTTTTTCCTCGATTCGTCAGGGAGGTGCAATACGGGTGAAAAAGGGGACGGCCACCCGAGTTTACCCTCGAGAGAATACTTTTCATTTATCTGCCTACCGAGA